ACTGAGCCAAACTGGTTTTGGCGGTTTATTAGCTTTTTTAAAATATATTTTTCATTGAAGCAATTTTAGATTTACAGAAAAGTTGCCAAGATAGTTCAGAGATCTTGTATAACCCCTCACCTTTTGTCTCCCTTCACGTTATCTTACATTACCATGGTGCCTTTGTCAAAACTAAGAAACCAACACTGGTATATTATCATTAACCAAACTCCAGACTATTCAATGTTCTTTTTCTGTTCCAGGAGCCTATCCAGGATCCCACATCATACTTCGTTGTCATGTTTCCTGTCTTTTCTATGTGAGTTTCTGTTTTCGTGACCTCAAGTTTTGGGAGGTAGTGATCAGTTTGTAGAATGTCTCTCAATTTGTGTTTGTCTATGTTTTCTCATGATTTGAATGGTATTGAGGGTTTTTGAAAAAAAAAATGGTAAAGTGCCTTTATCACATCCTATTAGAGGGCACATGATGTCCATGTCATCATTGATGTTCACCATGATCACTTTATTAAGATAGTACTGGCCAGGTTCCTCCATTGTAAGCTTCCCAGAAGTTTCCCTCTTCTAATACTTGTCTGGTTATTTATTTTAATGTTTTTGATTTTTAAAAAGGAAGAGGGAGACAAATACATTGATGAGAAACATTGGTCAGCTGCTTCCTGCATGTCCCCTACTAGGATTGAGCCCACAACCTGGGCATGTGCAAAAGACTATATATATTGTATTTATGTGAAATGTCCAGAATAGGCAAATCTATAGTGATGTGTTAGGCGTGTGTATGGGGGGTGGAGGAACTGGGCTATAATAGGTAAATGGTATAAGGTTTTCTTTTGGGGATGATGAAAATGTTATGAAATTGTTGGTGATGATAATATAACTCTGTGAATATACTAAAAGCCACTGAATTATATACTTGAAATATGTGAACTGTATGTGAGTTCTATCTTAATAAAATTCTTATTAGAAAGCCAAGGAACACAGGGCAGCTATCCTCATTCAAATTACACTCTTTCAAGCTAAAGTGACTGACCATACAGCTATTAAATTCTAAGTTTGTGCTTGAATATCTGGCTAAAAAAAAATAACATGACCAATAGTATCATTTAACTTTTTATTAATAAAACAGAAAACTAAAGTCAGACAACTGCTTTGTTTTTGCATCTGATTTGACCATATGCCAGATAAGTGACACTTTATGAGGAGGTAGGAGAGAACTATAAATATACCAGTTCCATTAAAAATGGCATACTGGAATATTTAATAAAGTTAGGTAAATGAAATGAAAAAGAGAACAAATTAAATACTAAAAATAACAAAAAAATCTATCCCTCAAATACCAGGGATCTCCTTTAATAGTCTTCAATGCAGCTCATTTGCAATTGAGATCAATCATATTGCTTAACCCCCAAAGGAAAAAACTGAGGGAACTCATGGATAATTTTCACGGCTTCATTGTAAAGTCCAAGATCTGAAAAAAAACATTTTAGCAAACATTTAATCTACAGTGGAAAGTTGTAATATCAATTATTTCTAAACATTTCTACCTCTTTCTCTTTTACCTCCCCTTTAAAGGTCAACTTATTTTCCCGATCCATCTTCTAAAACTGAGATATGGACTGTCATCTTTATTTAACTAACTGTGGCTCCAAAAAATGAAAGACATGGGACAGGAGATCATCCATGGTATTGTAGTGCTTTAAATATTGTACATTACTTGATGGCTTTAATCCATATATTAAAACAAAACAAAAAAGATTAACATTATTTTTGTTTGGCTTAAAAATTATTTCCATAAATATTAAACTTTACTGAGTTTCTTACAAATACACACACTACTTAGAAGCAGGCAAAATGTCTACGAATTTTTGATATCAGAAAATTCTATAGAAACTGAAAATGTAGCAGGACTGAAACTAAAGAATAAAATTTGTTTTTCTCCTAAATGAAACTAAATGCTTTATTTACCAAAAGGATGGATATCTTCTTTAAACTGGACATAAGATGAGCACATAATGGTTGCCTTGGCTGTTACTCTTCCAACTACTTCCACAATTCCAGAGATTTCTTCATCAAGCTAGCACAAATAACAAAATACCAACTTCATGTTATCACATTTTCAGTTGATAATGAACTCGGAAAATTGTTATATCTTTCAGTTTATGTAACAAAATAATTAAAAATTTACCAATGCTAAAACTGAAGTGCAACCTGTTAAAAAATGTTTGAGTACTTGCTGTCAGCATGTTACAAATCCTATTAACCTTTAGCTATAGTTCCAGGTCCAAAGGTATTAAATTGAAGACAAAATCACTTAAAGATACTTAGACTGTCCAGCATTTTTACAAGGAGCGATTTGTTCAAAAAGATCAATGAAAGGAACCTCCTATAATCTTGCACAGTATATTCTGTATACATTAACCAAACAGCATATGCATACATCTTAATAAAAGACAAAAATATATATATAAAATGGAAAAACAAATTAAGTGACAACTGAAAATATATGTAAACAAAAATAGAAAACAGTATTTAAAAAAGTATCACCTTCATGTTTTCTTAAGGAAGAAAAATGATTTAAACAAGATTTACCTTACATGATTTTATGGTCTTTCAAAAGACATGAGAATTGTCACCTAGTATTTAAGGGATGTATTAAAAAAAAAAAATCACAGAGTCCAAATAATCATTGGTTAGACATGTAAATGGGAAATAGAATGTAATACAAGGACAAAAATGACTTTTACAGCCAGGGAAGTTTTACAACCTGATCCTTTATACATCCACTCCAAGAACCATAAATATCAGCAACAAACCAAAACAAGATGTAGAATTAACTCTGATATGCATAGAATTAATACTTAAACGTACAGGCTCCATCAACTCAATGGTTGCACTTTTCCCTTCTCCATCTGAAAGAATAAACATTTTTCCAGTGGGATGAATCTGAAAAAGAAATATACAATGAAAAATCTCACATAAACAAAACCTTTAAAATCTAATTAAAATAAAAAACTCACACATCTAGGGGAAATAATGAACAACATAAACTGATGAACAAAAACAGAATGGGAGACAGGGAAGCATGGATCAGACTCTCAAACCTCAGAGGGATGGTAGGGGAGGGTGGGAGGAAGGGGGAGAGATCAACCAAAGGACTTGTATGCATGCATATAAGCCTAACCAGTGGTCACAGACAACAGGGGGGTGGGGGCATATGTGGGGAGGGGTTTGGGGTGAGAATGGGGGCTGAGGACAATTATGTGATACCATAATCAATAATAAAAAAATTAATTTGACAAAAGATGGGTAGGTTGACCCAAACTTTTGTGATACATATGTGCAAAGCAATCGCTTTTGAAGTTTATTAGGTTCAAATTATAATCTTGTGTTGCTGTATCCATTCAAACGACCCAATTATGTTTCAATTTCCAGATTAACACCTTTTTTTAGTACAAATATGTCCTGTATTTTTATTTGCTATATCACTCAACCCTATGCTAAAAACTAAAGAGAATCCACACTATCTAAAAATGAACTCTGTCGGGACCCATGGTTTAAATGGTACATATTCCATGGAGGGTATGTTTTAAAAATCAGGCATGATTTAGTAAAGAGAATCAGTTGTTCTAATCTTGTGAGACAGCTGTAAAGTGTGCAGTCAGATCTGTTTTGAGTGCTAGCTCTGCTACTTGATGTGGTCTTGAGCAATTTTTGTTTGTTTGAATCTTTTTAATTATTTTCTTTTAATCTTTGTTTAAAGTATTACATAGGTTCTCTTTTCCCCTCCATTAGCCCCTTCCAGCCCCACCCACCCCACTTCCAGGCCCTTACCATCGCATTATCTGTGTCCACAGGTAATGCACACATGCATACAAGTTCACTGGTTGGTCTACACTACCAAATTTCATAACAACACCAATTTCAAAAAGAGGTTGTGTGGCTGATATTACTTAGCCTTTATATAATATCCGTTTTTCTTTCAGCTTTCTAACCTGGTTCACCGATTCTGAGACTCTGAGCCTGTTTCTCAACCAGAAGGACGAAGGGGCTGCACTCTTAACACTGGGGTAAGGTAACAGACAGCTGTGGGATCTGGAAGGGACAGTCGAGGAATGTTTTATCGAGAAGTGATTTCAAGGAAAAACAAGGTCTGAGAAGGAGAATTGCAGAAGAGAAGAAAGTCAGAAAATCAGACTAGCCGTCGAGTCTGGCTAAACTAAACTACCAAGAAAGTAGATGTGGGAGTCAAGTCTACAATTTCTTTTATACGTAAACACAAACAGAACCAGGGTGGGGGCGCTAGAGCTTAGAATGGAGCGCACACACAAACGTTGCTATTCCGCGCCATAAAAGAGGCGCCAAAATGGGGCTGCAATAGCTACAAAGCGTGCAAAAATAAAGCAACGGGGCACGCCGTGAGGCTGAGGCTTTCTTTCTGCCCTCCTCCACCCTCCGTGGCCTTTCCTAACTCTACGTCCCCCACCACCCAGGCAGTCAAGGGTCCCTTCCGCTCCCGCCACCCAACCCCCACCACGGACTACAACCGGGGAGGCCGGGCGGCGAGCGCGCACACCTTTTCCAGCCTCCCTACGAAGCAGACGGGCCGGTCGATGGACTGAGCTAGCATGCTGGCGTTGATACGCGACTTGGGCAGTTCCATCACCTCCACCATCATCGTGGACGGCGACCGACGGCCGGCGGGAAACCTACGGCGGAGTGGAAACAGCGGCTCGCGGGCGTCTGTGGGGCGGGCTTCCCTGGCACCAATCGGCGGAGACCGCCACTCTCGCTCCACCAATCAAATGCGCGGAAATCTCGGTGGGGGCTCACTGTCTCCACCAAAGGGAAAGCGAAAGGAGGGACGCGAACGGAAGTGGGGCGGGATCTGCTGCCTAGTGACGCGCGGCGTCCCGGAAGTGGCCCGGTCCACGTGGGAGAGGGCGGCGGGGGCGGGGCTTGAGTGGGGCGGGGCCTGAGGCTCCCTCCGCTGATCTCCAGCCTCCCCGAGGCCACTTGACCCCGGAAGCAGGGTGCGGGGCTCCGGCGCGGCGGGACCCTGCGGTGCGAGCCTCAGGTACCTCTTCTGGCGGGAGGCCCCGCCGCCTCCCTCTTTCCCCTTCTTCTCTCCACTGACAGGTGAGGAGAGGGAGGCGGAGTCGCTGCTGTCCCCGGCTGTTCGCATTTCCCTCGCCCTCCCCTGCCAGGTTCTGCGTGGGGAGGGCGGGATTCTTGCGTGTGGACACCTAGGGATAAGGCTGTTTTTGATGCCCTCCCTCCTAGAGGTGGGAAGTGGGGTCGATGGAGGGATCTCCATCGCCTGTGCCAGGCCGCCTGACGCGGGAGGCGGAGGGCTGGGTGTTTACTTCCCAGGCTGCGTCACTTTCCCTGTCAGTTTCCCCACCTGTGGACAGAGAGGCTGTCAGTTTCCCCGCCTGTAGGGAGAGAGGCTGTCAGTTTCCCCGCCTGTAGGGAGAGAGGCTGTCAGTTTCCCCGCCTGTAGGGAGAGAGGCTGTCAGTTTCCCCGCGTGTAGGGAGAGGCTGTCAGTTTCCCCACCTGTAGGGAGAGAGGCGGATCTGATGGCCGCCAAGACCCGTTCAGGTGCCCACGATCAGGCCACACTGCGGAGGTGCAGGTTCTCTCCCCTCCGTGTGAGCAAAGTGTTGGAGCATCTGGGAGGGGGTCCATAGCGGGGAGGACCTCTGGACCAGGATAGGGGCCGAATTTACATTGCTGCTAGGTTCTGACCAGTAATTTCCTGATCCGTAATTTCCCCATCCGCAAAATGAGGGGGTAGGTAATTTACTGTTTGACAAAGTAAATTGCAACTGTTGTCCCTATGGTTCACGGACCTTTTAACTCCTCTGCAATCCCCCCCACCGCCCCCAACTACCCAGGACTCTGGAGGGGAGAGATCTGGAGATGTGGAGGATAACCTGTTTCAAGCAGATCTCACTGGCTCATGTGGCTATTGATTTTCATGTTTTTGTTTTGTTTTGTTTTCTGTGTGTGTGTGTGTGTGTGTGTGTGTGTGTGTGCGCGCGCGCGCGCGCTTGCGGATTGGTACCTGACTTGCCAGGAATATTCCAGAATAAGTGCTCATAAAAATACCTGCCAACAGGGCTGCAGAAATTGGAAAACACTTTTTATTGGATTACTATTTTTGGGGAACTTAGTCACATGAATTTGCCTAAGACACCTTATTTGATATCTTTCAAATTCAGGGACCTATCTGGAGCCTTAAGCAACTAAGGTCCTTTTGAGACTTCACTGCAGCAATTTAAAATGGAAATCTAATGTACCATAATTAAAGGATAGCCTACCTCAGTGTTTACTTAGCAGCACATATATTTGTCTTTGGTGTTGCTATCACTAAAACAAATATACCGTCAAACCTCAGAGGGAAAGTAGGGGAAGGGAGAGGTAAGGGGAAGAGGTCAACCAAAGGACTTGTATGCATGCATATAAGCCTAACCAGTGGTCACTGACAACTGCGGGGAGGGGGCATATGTAGAGAGGGGTTTAGGTGAGAATGGGGGGGATGAGGGCAAATATGTGTTACCTTAATCAATAAAGAAATTTAAGAAATAAAAAAAAACAAATTTAAACAATTTCTGTAATTGATGCAGCATGTATGTCAATTGGTCTGTAAAAAAGTTGTGATTCTATTGGTGCAAATCAATAGTCTATTTTATACTTTTTCTGAAGACTTAATGTCTTTTGCACCTTAGTATCGCTTTAGAAAACAAGTCATTGCATTATATAGGGTAAGACACGCATGAATATATTCTTTAATAGCAAGCCTTAAAGTACCAGATGCTAATATCATTATTTTATTACAGTTAAAAGACCACTCTTACCTTCCAACAGCATTCTAAAAAGCAAACAAAATATGGAAACAAGCAGGAAGATAATTTAAAACAGCATTTTAGATATATTTTCAGTCACTTAAAATGTATTAGGTAATAATACATTATATAGAGGAATGTAAATATGGCCAGTATGTATTCAATATATTTAAAATGTATTAGGTAATAATACATCCTATAGAGAAATGTAAATATGGCCAGTATGTATTCAAATTCAAATATGGCCAGTATGTATTCATTTAATATCCAGAGAGATTAAATGAACTCATTCAGCTTAAAAAATGGACCTTTCCCAATTAGTAGTTTGTACTTCCTCAGTTAAGTCCTCCTTACCAGCCAGAAAGCAACACTGTCTGGAAAACACTAAGCTTTTCTTTATATTTTTATTTACACAAGCAGACATTCCTAGATGGAATGTTGTTTAGTTTTTGTCAATTCTGACCTTTATAAAATTAGAATCATACCATATATATTTTCTGAATTATTTCTTTTACTTGCTTTTGAGATTAATCCATGTTGACACATGTAGGTGGAGTTCATTCTTTTAATTTTTTGCTGTATTGACTGACTTTTGATTATTTGAAATTCATTTCTACTGTGTATAGGGCTTCTGTGAATATTTTGATATATATTTGTTGGTGCACTTGTGCAAAAGTATATCAGTAGAATTGTTGGAACATAGGGTGTGCATCTTTAGCTTTACTAAAACTTTACTAAAACCAAAATTTTCCCCAAGAAGTGGTACTAGTTTATTCTCTTATCAGGAGTTCTATTTGATCCACATTTTTTTGTTTGTTTGTTTGTTTGCTTTTTTTTGGCAATGAGATGGTTTCATGTTGTGGTCCTAATTGGCCTTTTCTGATTACTAATGTTCTACAGCTTTCCAAATATTTATTGGCTATTTGTGTTTACCTTTTTGTTTTGTTTTGAGGATTTTTCTTATTGATTTTTGAGAGCTTTTGTATTAGTGTGGATAGTAATGTTGCATTTATTAGTTTAGGCCTTTCAATTTTTTTCATTCTTTCTGTCTTTCTTTCCTTTTCCCCCCTTTCAATGGAAAGAACTCCTACTTTTAATATAGTTAAAATGTTTTTCCCTGAAGTTTAAAATAGTTGAAAAGGCAATTCAAAAAATCTAATTTAAAAATCATTTCTTAGAACAAGCTCTATATTTTTTAAAAATTTGAAATAGTTTTATTTTTCATATTCAAAACTACTCCATCATTTAGAATTGAGTTTTCATGTATGTTGTCAGATATCCAATTTCTTTGTTTTGTTTTTATTTCAATTGTCCCAGCATCATTTTTGACTATGACCTTTGCCATTGACCTTTGATGTCACCTTAAGTTTACATATGTGTGTGGGTCTGTTCCTGGGCTCTCAGTTCTGTTCCATTCATCTGTTTTTCTGTCCCTGCACTATTACTCACGCTCTTCAACACTGTGGCCTTGTAACTTTGATGTCTTGAAGGAAAGTTCTTTTACCTTGATCTGCTCTTCATGAATGTGTAGTTATTCTTGGCTCTCTGATACTTCATATATAATTTAGCATGTCAGGTTCCGTAGGAAACTGTGTTGGGATCGGATCACAATTGCATTTGAATCCTTGGATTGACTTCAGAAATAACATCATAATGACAACTCTTACTATTCTTGTGTTATTTTGGTCCTTTTAAAATCTTTCCAAATAGTTTCTTAATTTTCTATATAAAGGTTTTGACTTTTAGATTAGATTTATTCCTAGGTAACTTGTTGCTATTATAAATGCTTTTTAAAACAGATTTTTATTGATTTCAGAGAGGAAGGGAGAGGGAGAGAGAGATAGAAACATCAATGATGAGAATCATTGATTAGCTGCCTCCTGCACACCCCCTACTGGAAATTGAACTTGCAACCGGGCATGTACCCTTGACCAGAATCAAACTCAGGATCCTTCAGTCTGCAGGCCAATGCTCTATCCACTGAGCCAATAAATGAGGGGCACCAATAAATGGTATTTTTTTTAAATTAAAGATTGTTAACTGATTGTTGCTGATATATAGAATGCATTTGACTTTTTTCTGGCCATTCTGCTAAAGTCATTTCTTGTAATTTTTCTATAAGATAAATTTTCTATTCATATGTGAATAATTTGTTTCTTAACAGTTCTCACACATTTTATTTTTCTTGCTTTTCCCCAGGTTAGAATTTCCAGTACCATTTTGAATAGAAATGGTGTTTTAGTTCAGGTGGGATTTGACTGCATAAGTAAAAGTGTCTTAAATATATAAAGGCTGCTCTGGCTGTGTAGGTCAGTTGATTACAGCATTGTCCCAATATGCCAATGTTATGGGTTCTATCCCTGATCAAGGCACATATAAGAAGCGAAGCAACTAATGAATGCATAAATAAGTGGAAAATAATCCCTTTCTCCCTCTCCCTCTCCCCCTCCCCCTCCCCCTCCCTCTCTCTCTTCCTCTCCCTCTCTGGTTCCATCTTTAAGATCACCTCATAGGCTAGGATAGATGCAGTGGCATCACATCAACCATTTACTTCCCATTCCAGACAGCAAAGTAGTCAGATAAAATGGTGTGCGTTCATGGGACTCAGCTCCCTTTAAGGGGCCTTCCTGGAAGTTCTTTACAACTTGGAGTTCTAATTATTAGGTTAAGGGCTTTCCATCCCCTGTTTGATAAGAATTTTAATTGAGTGATTAAGATATTTGATACAATTTTTTGCCTTAATTGAGATTATTAAAATGAATAAATTTTCCACTATTGAACCATGCTTATATTTCTGAAAGAAACACAACTTAGTTTTGATATATTCTTTTATTATACTAGATGCCTGGTGCACAAAATACGTGCAACGGGGTGTGTGTGTGGGGTTGTCCCTCAGTCCAGCCTGCACCCTCTCTAATCTGGGAAACTTCTCACAATCCAGGACTGCTGGCTACCAACTGCTGGCCTGCCTGACTGCCTGATTGCCCCTAATTGCTTCTGCCTGCCAGCCTGATCACCAGCTAATCACACCCCTGCCAGCCTGATTGCCCCTAACTGCCCTCCCTTGCCGACTTGGTCAATACTAACATTCCTGCCTGCAGGCCTGGTTGTTCACAACTGCTCTCCCCTGCTGTCATGGTCACCCTTAACTGCCCTCCCTTGCCATTGTGGTCGCCCCTAACTGCCTCCCCTGCTGGCCCGATTACCCTAACTGCCCTCCCCTGCAGGCCTGGTCATCCCTAACTGCCCTCCTCTGCTGGGCTGGCCACCCCCAACTGTTATCCTCTGCAGGCCTGGTCCCCCCAACTGCCCTCCCCTGCTGGCCTGTCCCTCCCATCTGCCCTCCCCTATAGGCCTGGTCCCCCCAACTGCCCTCCCCTGCTGGCCTGGTCACCTCCAGCTGCTCTCCCCTGCAGGACTGGTCACCCCTAACTGCCCTCCCCTGCTGACCTGGTCCTTCCCAACTGTCATCCTCTGCAGGCCTAGACCCCCCACAACTGCCCTCCCTTGCAGGCCTGGTGCCCCCCAACTGCCCCCCCCCCTTGCAGGCCGGGTACCCCCCAACTGCCCTCCCTTGCAGGACTATTCCCTCTCCACTGCTATCTTGTGGTGGCCATCTTATGTCCACCTGGGGGCAGCCATCTTTGACCACATGGGGGCGGTCATCTTGTGAGTTGGTGTGATGGTCAATTTTCATATTACTCTTTTATTAGATAGGATATTGGGTTTGATATTGTTTTGTTTAGGATTTTTGCATCATAAAAATTCGTGAGGGAGATTAGCCTATAATTTTCTTCTTTCCTGTATAGTCCTTGTCAGATTCTGGTATTATTAGGTTGTACTAGTCTCATGACATGAGTTGTGGAGTCTTTCCTTTGTTCTCTTGGATTCTGTGTAAAATTGAATTGATCTGCTTGTCAACTGTTTGGTAGAACTCACCTGTAAAACATTCTACGTCTATTATACATTTTATTGTGTTTTGCTTTATTGCCCTTCACAGTTGTTGCATTTTTTCATAAACTGAAGGCAAGACCATTCACCAGCAAAAAGCTTATGACTCACTGTATTGTGATACTTGCTTTACTGCAGTGGTCTGGAACCGAAACGCAGTATCTTGAGCTATGCCTTGGTTCCCTCAACCTACTGCTTCAGGCATGTCCCACAGTTTTCATAAGTAGATGTTCATCATCCTTAAATTGTAAATATTTTCTAGTTTCCAACCTATTTCTTCTTTGACTCATGGATTTTATTTCAAAATGAATAGGTTTTATTTATTGAAGTTATTTGTTTTACTAATTTCTAATGTAGTTGCATTATCTTTCAAAGTATATGTGACTTGCTTTAAGGCTTATCAAGTACCTGGACAATTTTGTTAAATATTTCATGTGTGCTTGGAAAAAAATGCATTTTTCAATTGTTGGATCAAGCTTGTAAATTGCATTGTTCAACTATTCCTATGTTATTACCTTTTGTCTGATTAATATCTCAATTGTGATAATTGTGCTAAGTATCCAACAGATGGTAGCAATTGGCAGTTTTCCCTTGAATTTCTGATGACTTGTACTATGTATTTTTGAAGATTTGTTATTCGGTTCATACAAGATTAGGATTGTGAAGTAAATGGTCAAATGAAGTAGTGAGTATCTCAGATCATGCTTTTTGGCTTTATGTAAATTTTCTTTTAGTTTCTCACCAGCTTTCTTTTGGTTAGAATTTGTTTGTTGTATTATTTTCCATCATGTACTTCACCTAAGGGCGTGGATTGCTCATTGCCTCATCTCTTAGGTGTTTATCAGGGCTGACTGGGCAGGTCTAACTCAAGGGAGGAACAGACACTCTTTTAACCAAGAGGCTTCCATTATAACAGAATTGCTCAAATGCATGGAGGCTGGGTTCCTCTCTAAGGGAGCACTAGAGTTTGGTGGATGATGAGTGTTTTGTACTTCTCTACGTGTTATATTTCCTCAATGAACCTTATTTGACATTTATACTATGTGGTATTTGTGTCTGTATTGGCCTTATGACTTCCAGCTTCTCTGTGTCTGTAAATTTTAGGTGTGTCTCCTGTAAATATTGCCTGCAGCTGAAGATTTAACATTTCTATATTTTGTCCATTTACATTGATTGTTGTTACTGATATTTTTTTTGCATCATTTCTATAGTCATTTCGTGCTTTCTGTGTTCTGCTTTAAAAATTTTTCTCCTTTCTTGGGATAATCTAATTTGCCATCTCTAGTCACTTGTCCATGTGCCATCTAAACAGCTATGGCGTGGAAGGAGATTTGAGGAGGATTGGGTACAAACATGGCTACTGAGAGTTTACTCTGTTGAAAAGATGCCCAAGGGGGTTGCAGTAACCCATAATGGGGATTGTGGTCAGCTGAACTCAAGTACTAGTGGCAGTAGGAATAGAGAAAAGCCAAAAGTTTCATGAGCTATCATGAGCTGCAGGCTTAGTGTTGGGTGTACAGGGAGAGGGTGAAATTAAGGTAACATGGTTTTGTTTCTGGCAGCTGTTCGGACCATCATGCTTTGAGGTGGAGAGTAGAGTAGTTCTGGGAAGATGACTCAGGGGTGAACATTGAGTCAGTGTAGCACAGAGTGAAGAACATAGACTCAGAGCAAACAGCCTAGTTGAAATCCTGATCCTTTCACTTAAGTGATTTCTGGACAAATTATTCATCCTTTTATAGTTGCAATATTTGTATTAACATGGGAGGTGAAGCTTCATACCATTGTTAAGCGTGAAAGAAAATTGTGTTTGTATAGCATTGGGCACAGTGCCTTGGTACATTGAGTACTTTAGTAATAAACTATAAATTATAACTGCTACTAGCATGGCCAGATTGTCCTTAAGCATCTGTTGGACATGTTCATGATGATGAACAGTAAGATAGTGAAGGGTGAGGGAAACCGTGTTTCCCCAGAAAGAAGGAAGTGTGTGGGCTTGTCTGAGAGCAGAGATCCTGAATCCATCTGGGTTTTATGCTGTTCTGCTCAGCAGCTCAGATGTAAGAGATTGTGGTTTTACACAACTATCTCAATATTACCAAGGTGTTTTCTCTACTTACCAACAGTTTATTTTGGAAAATAATCATCAGAGAGATAGCCTTCTTAATCTTTGGTTCCATAATTTCCCTTCTATATGCTGATCTTTTTCCCCCCCTTCTTTTTAATTTTATTTATTTATTGATTATGGTATCACATAATTGTCCTCATCCCCCTATTCCCATCCCAAACCCCTCCCCACATATGCCCCCACCCTCTTGTTGTCCATGGCCACTGGTTAGGCTTATACGCATGCACACAAGTCCTTTGGTTGATCTCTCCCTCTTACCCCCACCCTCCCCTACCTTCCCTCTGAGGTTTGAGAGTCTGATCTCTACTTCTCTCTCTCTGGGTCTGTTTTTGTTCATTAGTTTATGTTGCTCATTATTTCCCCTAGATGTGTGAGATCATGTGATCCAAGAACTTTATGTTGACCTTATTCTGCTAATCTCGTATTGAAGGAGACTGGGTGGGTGAGATTACCTTAGTCTCCCTCTCTGAATTCATTGCATGCAGCTGTTTGTTCCGTGTCCAAAGACGGATGTACACGTTCCTCAGCTTGTTCAGCTCCCACTGGCTACTGGCACTCATTATATGTGGGTGTACTTGGCTGAGAGTCTGAGCATAATGGACACCTCCTTCCTGGCTCAGCTCATGGAGCTTTTTCTGTCTGGGCCCCTGTTTTACAGTCTTCTTGGGCAGGTACAAACCACTGACCTTTGAATGGAGGTGGATGACCTCCCGAGGGAGGGGTCAGGATAAGGGAGGGAATCTAGTTCTGCCAGACTTTAGATAGAAAGAGTTTTCAGGCAGCCAATTTTTCCCCAGGAGGGTACAACTTCTGTATTTTAGAATTAAGTTTAGGCAATGGGAATGGACGGAATACTTTCTCCATCTTTTTGTTCACTCTCCAGTTTTAGTTTGCTTGTTTACTCACTTATTCCTGCATTCCTTGGAGAGAAGTAGCAGCATGTGGCAGCGTACAGTTAGGAACTCTTGGTCAGTTGTACTTTTTGGCCTATCCCTGTTGATTGTGCTGTTCGTGGAAATTTGACTCAGACTTTGGCACGTGGTTGAGGGAGCTATTGCCAACTGTTGTCTTGTGTTATCTTTATGTACACTTTGATGAAAAAATTGGGAGGAGGCAAAACAGCCAGCTTTCTTGTTTACTCAGGAGTCTAAGTTTTCAGGCAAATAGCAATGCTTGACTAGACTTGTTAGCCTTTTGCATGGCTGGTGCTAGTGTTACACAGGACTCAGTACCATACTTTATGGGACTGGCTTTGAGAGATGTAATAGAGAAGCAGGCCAAAGAGGCAGCAAGAAGAGTGGATATTCCCTTGAATTTAGACAAAATGTCTTGTCTGGTTTTGTTTCTGTGGGGCCTACCATGGCGCCTGGCCAGTATTTGCCCTTCAGAATTTTTTTTGGGGGGGGGGTGCGGAGGTGGGGGGTAGGAAGTAAAGACTTGATACTGCAGTTATATTGTATTGAAATTCAAATGATGCAGATTTCTAGTAGACAGTTTTGGGGATGAGACTTTTTGGAAGCTGAATACAAGGGTCCCTGTTGTGTGTTAAATGCATGTAAGTGAGCAAATAGAGCAATTGAAAGACCAACGCTAAATAATGTTTTATTTTTATTTTTATTCATTCTAGGTTTTTCCTGTGCAATAGAGAGTGTAAAGAGGTGTGGCCTTACATCGGATGACTTCCTTCTCTCTTAGGACATTATTTAAATGTGTTTATTCACCTAAGATATTTGTTTTATGTGAAGAGATGTGTTTTGTTAGCGTTGTCTGAAGTCTTTTTTAGTATGTTGTGTTTTTGTTTTGTTTTTTTTTCCATTTCAGAGTTGCAATATTGAATGCAGTGGGTAGAAATTAGTGTTGTATAAGTAGGTTCAGTGTTATTTAAGCCAAAGCCAAAATGTGTTATTTTTTTTGTATTAGAATTATGTCTGTAACTTTATTAAAACATAAAAATATGTCATATCATTGTATCATTAATTTAGAAGAGTCGGGACAACACTAAAGTCTTTAAATTATATTTTTGAGACCCAAATGGTATAAATTACAAGTACAGTTTATTTATAAGCTCCAGAAAGCAACAACAACTGTATCTTCTAAATGTCTACATCTCCCCACACTATTTAGAAAAAAATAATCCATGGTGCTCACATGTACTGCATTAAAGAGAGGGAAATTGTTGTTGTTTTGTTTTTTTAAATAAAACCTCTTGAAATTAAGATGTCTTTGACTAAAGTGTATCATATACTAGGTGATCACGCCCATCCACAGAGAAGTAAGTTACAACAAAGAATGATCTGGACCAAAATACTAAGAATAAAGAGATGGAGAAACCTGGGTCTAATGTACTGGGAGACCCCTCCCCCCTTCCCCCAAATTAGTAGAATCAGAGGAGACTTTATTATACTGTTCTATTTTTCTTTTTTTGAATAAGGGACAGTAGAGGGAAAAGGTAGTCATTTTTTACCACTGCCAGGCTACCATTTTTATTCTGAAAGTATTAGGGTAATTAAAAGGAAAACAAACAAAAATCCCCAAATCCAACAACAAAAGTATACAAACTTCCCTGTTGATTCTCATAGAGACTTTGGAGGTCATATTTATTTACAAAATAATGGAGGGAGGTCAATTTCTATGAGGTTGGTTTTACCTTAGTGAGACCATTCGATGATGGGACTAGGGTCTGAGAAGAATGAAGGTTTTGTTCTAAAATTTTCTTGGGCCAACTTGTGGCTGTTCAAGATGCCTTTATCATGTGCTTGGAAAGTAATTCTGCTAGAGAAAATTCCAGAAAGTGTAATGCTCCCAGGATAGCAGGATTTTATTATTCTAGTGATAGCTAATGATTGCAGAGAGTTTCTGGTGGTGGGTGTCTTACAGGAGTGATCAGTAGCTGGCTGTTGAGATGATCAAATGAATCCTGTGCTGCTCTCCATGGCAACAAGGCCATGTTAAAATCATCCCTTGTGATAAACTGGCAGCCCGTCCACCCCCAGTACTCTTTTAACCTAGATTTCTGGTATTTTGTTTAAGAATTTTATGTTTGAATCCTACATGTCCCATTTCTGAAAAGCTTTTCTGCATTTAATATAATACGAAATACAATAGGAGAGGATTTAAACTATAAGTAAGGATCAAGGAAAAAACTATAGAATCAAGGGGAAAAAACCACACACCCAGCTTAGCCCCTGTTAAAATCTACACTGTGAAGTTCCAGGGAGCTCCTTTGCCTTCTTCCAGAATCCTCCCTTGCCCAATGCTTTATAATCATGCACTTGTAGCTCCAGACCTATGACTTTCTGAGTAGTTTAGATGGTCTGTTTTGGCTAAAAGTAATACGTGTTTAATTTCTGAATTTGCTGAAAGCAACTATGCAGTCATATTAGGAAAGTGAGTTTTATTAGATCACGTCAATTCAAATTATTAATGACTTGTTATATATGCGCATGATGTTACTTTTCCAGTTAGGTGACCAGTGAACAGTTAGGAGTGTTAAATTAGTGGACAGGCTTTCTTAAAAATGAGGCTGTCACCACCACCTTGTATTCATCTGGATATGTTAGAAAAGCTGCAGGAGTGTTCTGGAGGCATCTCTGAGCTACTCCAGGCCAGTAGAAATGGAAGTAAGAGTACAGGGAGAAAGAGAGCAATGTAAAATTTTCTGCTGTCATAAAAGGATTTGTTCATCTTTTTTTTTTTTTAAATGGTTGATGGTGTGTATAAAAACATTATAGTGTTTATAATTCATTGGATAAATGTAAAAGAATGATATCTTGGTTTTATTACAACATATAAATATTTATAGCATTCTAGAAATTACATCCTTTATAACTTGAATGGAAAGTTTTAGATGACTTAAAAAAGTACAAGGGGGAACATGTTTTTCTTAAAATTTCTTTATTGATTAAGGTATTACATATTTGTCCTGATCCCCCCATTCCCATTCTAAACCCCTCCCCACACATGCCCCCCGCCCCCCGTTGTCCGTGACCACTGGTTAGGCTTATATGCATGCATACACATCCTTTGGTTGATCTCTCCCTCTTACCCCCATCCTCCCCTACCTTCCCTCTGAGGTTTGACAGTCTGATCAATGCTTCCAGATCTCCAAGTCTGTTTTTGTTCATCAGTTTATTATTTCCCCTAGATGAATGATCCTAGAAATACACTTAAAAGAACCAAAAATGAAGACAAGCAATATGGTTATGCTGAGGCAAATGAATCAGTCTGTAGTGAGTTTCTTTCTGGGCCAACAGTTCTTTTGAGTCCTAATTTCAATGTCAAACAGTTCCTATGTGTACATGTCAGCAATGATATTTCATTTCTGGATGGTGGTGGACAAATGGTGGTGATGCAGGTCCGACCCTCTCTGGTTTGGTTCTGGGCAACCTGCAGCGACATACAGCTGCTGACTGCTAGTATGGCAAGGCGTTGTCAGCATCTTCCATTTCTGGACTGTTGGGGGGCGTGTTTTCAAAACATTTTTAGGGGATATGTGAGCACCACAGTATGATTAGCTGTTTTGAAATATTTTTTGCTGGCAACCCAAGTTAAGAACTACATTTCAATGACCTTGTCCTTGTATCCAAAAGCAAATGTTCATAGCCCATTATCATATGTGCTTCTCACTCATAATATTTATGCTTCTGCTTCCTTTTCTCCTTCCTATTTCATTCTATTAATAAATCTGGCCATGGCTCAGTAGATTGAGTTTATATCCTCTAAAGTGTTTGGACCTGGAGTTTGAAAAACTTCTATGGATCCAAGGTTCAGTTCTTTGTTTATGTTATTCTTTGAGTGGGTTGTTGCCATTTTTTGCCTTTTTGTGTGTGTGTGTGTGTGTGTGTCTGAGCATAAATCAGAAAGGCAGAAATAAACTTATGTTAATACTTTTATTTCATTAATTGTCTTTCAAAAGTTCTGTGGAGCTTATATGTAACATCAGTTTACATGACTTTTCTTGCTCCCCTTTTCCTTATCCTCCCAAATATTACATCAATATTACAAAACTTCACAAAGAAAAATACTGAGATGGGGTGGAAAGACAGAGGGAGAATCTTTGGGCTCCTAATTGGTAGTCTGAAGTTAATAGATCCATTTTTAAACAGGATAAAATCACACCTTTCATACAAATATTAAAACCCGTCAAAGACGTTACTCATGCCATAGCTGATTTGGCTCAGTAGATAGAACGTCAGCCTGTGGACTGAAGGTTCCCAGGTTCCATTCCAGTCAAGGGTACATGCCCAGGTTGCAGGGTCAATCCCCAGTAGGGGGCGTGCAGGAGGCAGTCGATCCATGATTCTCTTATCATTGATGTTTCTTTCTCTCCCTCTCACTTCCTCTCTGAAATCAAAAATATATTAAAAAAAAGACTTTACTCATTAATTAAGGAGAGAATTAGTAAGATATAATGGGTTCAAATGAGAACTCAAAAGTATCATTCAAAGTATTATTTATAGAAGAATGAGGGGATGTCGGTTTTATAAGTGGATGCAAAACTGGTCACTGTCCTCAGGACAGAAATGAATGCAGTCTTCCAGATGCACTTCTGTAGTCAGGGCTTATTTACATGGCTGCCAATTTCATACACTTTACCTCCAATAGAGTTACTGCATAACCTAGTCAAAGAAAACTATCAATAGATAGATGAGCTAGCCAGAATATCCACTAAATGGCCTACGTCACAATTGTTTCTTATTGTGATTAGATTTACATTTTTAAACACTTTTATTGGTCTAAAATTTTATCACCTGAAGGCTAAATACAGTTTGAAAGGGATTTAGGCATTATGCAGACTATTTTTAAACATTTCGAATTTTTTTCTATCCTTTGAAAACCAGATTTTTCAAAATTGTATATTTCCAGTTGTCTTGAAAAATCAAACTTGGTAATACTGTGCCCACATTCCTTTATGAAACTGGTTGGTGCTGCCAATGGTGCCTAGCTCAGCCAGGCAAGAGTATTGTTGTTGCTAGATCTGTGATCGGCTTGTGAGCCAAATGCAGCTCCTTGGCCCCTTGAGTGTGGCTCTTCCACAAAATACCATGGCCTAGGCGAGTCTATTTTGAAGAAGTGGCATTAGAAGAAGTTTAAGTTTAAAAAATTTGGCTCTCAAAAGAAATTTCAATCGTTGTACTGTTGATATTTGGCCCTGTTGACTGAGTTTGCCTACCATTGGACTAGGCTGTCACTCTCCTTCACTCCTTGTCACATAGAAGGCTGGTTTTCAAAACCATTATACTTGGCTGTCACACCAGGACTAAAATGTTAACTATATTGTTTCACATTTCAAAGCAGAAACAACTGACCTCTTCAGTAGAATCCAGAAGTGGTAAATTCAAAAGCCAGACTACACAATAATAGTAAACAACAAGTCCTATATTCCACTCTGGATATTTAATATTCCCTTGATATTTTTAGTTCTTTCAATAATTTATCTGTACCTTCTTTTTGCAGTCTCATTTTCTATTGCTTGTCTACATGCCTCTATTGAGGTCACTCCCAAAGAACACATCATGTTATTGTTCACAGTGATCCTTTTTGTAGGAAAGGCCTCTTCTTCATTTATTATGGTGCCCAAACCATCAGGTGAAGTTAAACTCAAGGCTACTTATTTGTGAAGTCTACCAGGGCTCCTCTAATTCTCATTGATTCTTCTGGAGTGCTTTATACTTGTAATGTCTCAAGATTAAAACTACCGAAAGCATGGGCCACCTCCTTTTTTGGTACCTCTCAGAATAAATTAGT